TTGTATTGTTTGTTTATATTACTGTAGCACCTAGGATCAAATATTTTTTGGCCAAACAAGGTAATTCTGTGCAACCAGTTCATTTCTTTTACTTCATTACTGCTCTCCTTCAAATATATGTTATATGCTTTATTTTAAGGAGGCAGAGATGGACTTGCTCTGTTTAACAGAATGAGTTAAGTTGTGAGGTAAGTGTGTTTCCTCATCTACCGTTACTACCTATCGACAGCAAAATTTTATGAAATGAGATAACATTTTCTCTTTAATCAAATTCTTCACTGTTACTTGAATATCACTGATGTTTCTATGCAACCTGAAGGTAGAGGTGCTTTAATTACTCTTTTTATTCATTTCTCACACCAGAAAGTATTAATTTTCAGTGAATGTTTAGTCTGTAAGGAAGACAAGACCCATCTTACTTATACCCAAATATATAAGTAATTGCCAGTAGTAGCTGTCACTCAAGAAGTTATCAGGAGTACATATGCTATAAGATATTTTAATAAACTTTCTACCATGCTGCTGCTTTAAAAATATTGTTCTTGTACTAGAATGGGAGCAGTGGAATGGTAGGGGCTGATTATGAAGAGAAAGCAAAGGCAGGTTTGTCAAAAGCTTCTGTATATCTGTCCAATGGAAAAACATTCAGACTGATGAAAACATCTTCTAGAGCTGCATCTACAGAGATCTGCAGTTAAACTTCTGTGAACTATTAAACAGCTATTTCCAAGAAATATCTTACATGCATTGCATACACTAAATTTACATAAAGATCACTTCTGTTACATAATACAGAGTAATCTTTAAATATTATTATGGACATTTAAGTTTTAGGAAAGGAAAAAGAGTACCTTAAAAAAACCCGTCATTGGGTTTTCCCATAACGGCACCTAGATTAGTATATCCGTCTAAATAGTTCTTGAGGGTGAATCTGATTCAGACTGAGGGTAGAAGATATGGGTTTAAGTAATATTTATTTGTTGAATACAGTGGGGTTTTTGATAGTGACCATTGTAAGATTATGAATAACATTTTTAGACAGTCCCCATCTTCTGCAGTTGTAGATTCTGACATGCCTTCCAAAGTGAAAGGAAAAAGAGAATATTTCTCTGGATGTGGAGAATAAATCCTCTGCTATGAATAATTTCAGATTGTCATACATTTTATAACAAAGATGCATGCTTCCATAGTAATTGTTCTTGCTTTTTTAAAAACAAGCATGAAAATCTGATAACCGTATATTTTACTGGGTAACAAAAAGTCTTTCTATCCACACAGCCTGTGGTCATGCACCTGATTTGCTGCTACTCAAATCCCCCTTTTGCGTAATGACATTGAAACTCAGAACCATTTGAGAGGGAAAAAAGAGAGACGGGAAAGGAAAGGAAAAGGTATATCAAGCTGAAGGATCTTTTTCAAAGTGTCATCAAATGAGTTTAAGAGGTTTCTTTTCCATGAATGAAACATCGCAGTTGAATGAGAATCATTTGTGAGATAGGTTTCAAGATTCTTCCTAGAAGAAAACTATGAATTACACATACTACATGTATGTATACGTTTATATTATACTGTGTGAATGTGTATACTTCATCTGAGGTTATGCTAATAATAGCAATGGAAAATGTTAAGGAATAGCTCAGAAGATTAAGAATGGCCATGGAGTGAACTCAAAGCACATGGTCAGTTTTAGGAAAGGTTTCAGAGTAACAGCCGTGTTAGTCTGTATTGGCAAAAAGAAAAGGAGTACTTGTGGCACCTTAGAGACTAACCAATTTATTTGAGCATGAGCTTTCGTGAGCTACAGCTCACTTCATCAGATGCCTACCGTGGAAACTGTTTCCACGGTATGCATCCGATGAAGTGATCTGTAGCTCACGAAAGCTCATGCTCAAATAAATTGGTTAGTCTCTAAGGTGCCACAAGTACTCCCTTTCTTTTTAGTTTTAGGAAAGGAGATCTGCCATTGCTCTGCCCCTTGTAGAGTAACTCACACCCAGGCACAGTGAGTGTAAAACGTTCCTCAGTCAAAACAACAGTATTTTACCCCCCTCTTAATTTGGTGTAAATGAGTACACAAGGTATGATCGGCAACCCAGGGCCAAAGCCCTCATCAAAAGCCCAGCTTTCTTTTAAAAATAATCGTCGTCAAGGAAGGACAGAGTGAAACATTTCGCAAAAGCATGTGTGCTAATGCTGCCTTCCTCCAGAAAGGACCGACTGGGTTTGCAAAGGTGCAGTTCCAGCCCTCCTGGCTGCGGGGTGGGGAGGGGGGGTGGTTAGAAATTGGGCTGCGTCAGGTTTTGCGGCGTCTGTAATGAGAGAGGGGGGCACCGCAGGCAGCGGGGGAGTACAGTGGGAGGGTCCCAATGGGTAGACTGGGGTGTGAAGGAATATTCCCTCTCTTGTCCTCTCTCTCGTGTCCCCTCTCGGCTGCTGATGTGCTAAATCTCTCCGGGTTGGAGCAGCTGCGTGGAGTAGCTTTTCCCTTGAGAGACCGAGTAAATAAATGACTATTGTGGAATTTAAGAAGTCAGCCCCTCTCTTCCCAGATCTCTTGCCTTCTGCTCACTGAGAGCAAGCAAACCCACCCCTACAAACCCAACCCCAGCCGAACCAGACTAGGAAGAAGGGGCTGAGGATGAATCAAACTGACAGAACCAAACGTGACGACCTCCTTCACCACAGCAATCCCCGTTTACACTTGCAGTGGGGATCAAACCGTTTCTCCTATTTTTATTTCACTTTAGTATAAATCTCGCCCCCCACCCCATCTTTAGTGCTCCAAATGCACATGGAAGGCATAGGGAATAACCTTCAACCCTTGTACCCAGAAAGGGATGGGGATTTAGTAAAGAGGGTTCAGGCAGAGGAGCAGGTGTGGGGGTGCTCGGGGGAAGGGGGGGTCTGTACTGGCAGAGAAGCGGGATGTGATATGCTGGCAGAGGAGGGTGGAGGAGAAGGGGTGTCAGGAGGGTTGCGGGAAGAGAGGTGCGGGCGAAGGGGGACTGGAGAGGGGAGAAGTGGAGAGGTGCGGGAGGAGGGGGACGGGGGAAGGGGAGAAGTGGAGAGGTGCGGGGGAAGGGGGAGTGGAGGGGTGCGGGAGGAGGGGGACGGGGGAAGGGGGAGTGGAGAGGTGCGGGGGAAGGGGGAAGTGGAGAGGTGCTGGAGGAGGGGGACGGGGCAGGGGAGAAGTGGAGAGGTGCGGGAGGAGGGGGAAGGGGGAGTGGAGAGGTGCGGGAGGGGGGGACGGGGCAGGGGAGAAGTGGAGAGGTGCGGGAGGAGGGGGAAGGGGGAGGGGAGAAGTGGAGAGGTGCGGGAAGAGGGGGAAGTGGAGAGGTGCGGGGGAAGGGGGAAGTGGAGAGGTGCGGGAGGAGGGGGAAGGGGGAGGGGAGAAGTGGAGAGGTGCGGGAAGAGGGGGAAGTGGAGAGGTGCGGGGGAAGGGGGAAGTGGAGAGGTGCGGGAGGAGGGGGAAGGGGGAGGGGAGAAGTGGAGAGGTGCGGGAGGAGGGGGAAGGGGGAGTGGAGAGGTGCGGGAGGGGGGACGGGGCAGGGGAGAAGTGGAGAGGTGCGGGAGGAGGGGGAAGGGGGAGGGGAGAAGTGCGGGAGGGGGGACGGGGCAGGGGAGAAGTGGAGAGGTGCGGGAGGAGGGGGAAGGGGGAGTGGAGAGGTGCGGGAGGGGGGGACGGGGCAGGGGAGAAGTGGAGAGGTGCGGGAGGAGGGGGAAGGGGGAGTGGAGAGGTGCGGGAGGAGGGGGAAGGGGAAGGGGAGAAGTGGAGAGGTGCGGGAGGAGGGGGAAGTGGAGAGGTGCGGGAGGAGGGGGAAGGGGGAGGGGAGAAGTGGAGAGGTGCGGGAAGAGGGGGAAGTGGAGAGGTGCGGGGGAAGGGGGAAGTGGAGAGGTGCGGGAGGAGGGGGAAGGGGGAGGGGAGAAGTGGAGAGGTGCGGGAGGGGGGACGGGGCAGGGGAGAAGTGGAGAGGTGCGGGAGGAGGGGGAAGGGGGAGGGGAGAAGTGGAGAGGTGCGGGAAGAGGGGGAAGTGGAGAGGTGCGGGGGAAGGGGGAAGTGGAGAGGTGCGGGAGGAGGGGGAAGGGGGAGGGGAGAAGTGGAGAGGTGCGGGAGGAGGGGGAAGGGGGAGTGGAGAGGTGCGGGAGGGGGGACGGGGCAGGGGAGAAGTGGAGAGGTGCGGGAGGAGGGGGAAGGGGGAGGGGAGAAGTGCGGGAGGGGGGGACGGGGCAGGGGAGAAGTGGAGAGGTGCGGGAGGAGGGGGAAGGGGGAGTGGAGAGGTGCGGGAGGGGGGGACGGGGCAGGGGAGAAGTGGAGAGGTGCGGGAGGAGGGGGAAGGGGGAGTGGAGAGGTGCGGGAGGAGGGGGAAGGGGAAGGGGAGAAGTGGAGAGGTGCGGGAGGAGGGGGAAGTGGAGAGGTGCGGGAGGAGGGGGAAGGGGGAGTGGAGAGGTGCGGGAGGGGGGGACGGGGCAGGGGAGAAGTGGAGAGGTGCGGGAGGAGGGGGAAGGGGGAGTGGAGAGGTGCGGGAGGGGGGGACGGGGCAGGGGAGAAGTGGAGAGGTGCGGGAGGAGGGGGAAGGGGGAGTGGAGAGGTGCGGGAGGGGGGACGGGGCAGGGGAGAAGTGGAGAGGTGCGGGAGGAGGGGGAAGGGGGAGTGGAGAGGTGCGGGAGGAGGGGGAAGGGGGAGGGGAGAAGTGGAGAGGTGCGGGTAAGGGGGAAGTGGAGAGGTGCGGGGGAAGTGGAGAGGTGCGGGAGGAGGGGTGCGGGTGCCAGGGCTGAGCGGGGCAGGCGCTGACAGCCCCGTGCAGGCAGAGCCGAGAGGACGGACACTGACCCTCAGGTGCCCGAGCCCCCGGCGGGGCAGTGTCCCCTGCGGAGGCGGGCTCTGCCTCTCCCGCCCCCGGCGCTCTGGGGGCCCGGGGCAGGCGGAGGCGGGGGAGGTGGCCGGCGGGCTGGGGCCGGGGGCAGGAGGGGGCGGCGGCAGCTCCCTGGCAGCGCGGGCTGCCCGGCCACTCGCCCTGTCAGCGCGCGAGCCGGGATCCGCGCCCCCTGCCCAGCCCGGCGGCGCCCTGCACAGCCCACTCGGGCGGGGAAACGCCGCGCCGCCCTGGGGAGACTCAGAGCCGCAGCGGCAGCGGCGGCGGCGGCAGCAGGACCCCTCCTCCCTCCCGGCATCCCCGGCCCGGCTCCCCTCCCGCCCCGGCTCCTCACCCGCCGGGAGCCCCTCTCGCCGCCGCAGCCCGGGCTCGGCTCCAGGGGACGATGCTCTGGCTCCCCAGCGGCAGGGCTCCGGCTCCGCTGCTCCGCTCCCCCGCCGCCCCCTTCGCCGCCTGGCTCCTGCTCAGCCCCCTGTGGGTCCAGATGTCTCTGGCTTCCTCCTTCCTGACAGGTAAGGGGGAGACTCGCCCCGCTCCGGTCCCGCCGCCCACGGGCAGGGGCAGGGTGAGGCGGGCGGAGAGCGGCTCTTCGCCTTGCCCCGCCAGGGCAAAGCAAAAGCGATTCACGCCCGGCCAGCAGGGGCTGGGGAAACGCGCCGGGGATCTGCGCCTAGCAGATGCATGATCCCAGGGACGGGCTCCGCTGTGCATCCCGGGGGGGACGCTTGTGCAGGTAGAGCTTGCAAGAGGAGCGGTGCCCATGTACAAAGGATTTTACCTATGACGATGGGCAACCTTGACCTGCTCAAGCCCAGAAGCTCTTTGACATCAGACCAGATTCCCACCTCCCAGGGCTCTTGGAGTAATGACAAATCCTAATAATAAATGAGCGCCGTTGCTTTGTTTGTTGTATTATGTAGTGCATTGTTTGTTGAACGTACTAGATTTGCCTTACGTTCATTTGTTTTAAAAATGCAGTTCGGAAGAAAAGGTTCGTGATAGTAGGATATAATTACATGTATCCAGGCAGGTGAAGACCTACCTGCTGCTTTCCGCCCCCTTGAAGGACATACTTTACTGACACCTGGTGCATAAAGGAAAATGTTGAGTCAATTTCGAGTAAAACAAGCAAGACGTATTAGGTTTCAAAAAGTGATTCCAACATGAGATAATACAGGACAAATCGGGGTAGAGACTATATCTCTAATTTGATTCCTTTTGTAAATCGACTCTGATGGCAGTCTGTTCTTCATGGGTCAGAAAAAGGTGCTGTGTTGAGTTGTTGGTACTGTAGTAAGGGCCTGACCCAAAGCCCACTGAAGTAAATGGAGTTATTTCCACTGATTTCAATAAGCTTTGGATCAGGTCATTTACAGAAGTATCCTATTATTAATGAAATATTCATTATTGCATAGGTCATCTGAGAGGAGAAAAAAACATCTCTGCTGTAAATGGGGCACAGTAGGAAAATCTAGATTTTGTACAGAATAAAAAGGCTAGTCATTTACCAGCTCTCATCAGGATCTTATAGAAACTGCCCCTTTGAAACTGAATAGTTTCTGTGCATTTGTTTCTGGTATTCTTGGTTATTTAGAGCAGGTGAGATTTAATACTGAAGGCTAGGAGCTGTACAGGAGTTTAAAACAGAATTAGGAATCTGGATACTGAAGAGAGCCAGTGAATTAAAATTTGAAAACGTATTTTTTATTTTGATTTCTATCTCAGGATCTGTTGCAAAATGTGAAAATGAAGGGGAGGTTCTACAGATACCATTTATCACAGACAATCCTTGCATAATGTGCATTTGCCTGGTAAGTTTGGATTTCAGGTAATAAGAACACTAAGGGCTGTACTAAAAGTAACTGTACAAAGAAAGGAATACATTGTATAATCAAATCTTGGGTATTTGTTGCCTTTATGCAATGCAAGGTTATCTCAGTGCTGAGCTAACTAGAAAATATTCCAGTTCGCTATCTTGGAATCATCATTTTGACTTTAAACTCATAAATGACTTTAATATGACATTGTGAGACTCACTGATTACTACATTCATCATGTGCATACATGGTGAGAATTATTTTCACAAAGTCACATGTGCTCTAGCACAAAAGATTTCTGCATAGCCAATACCTATGAACAGAGCAAAGAGGTTGAAATGTGGAGTTTGGGGGTGCTATTGCTTTCAACTTCCACAGATACTGACTGTTGAAAAAATGGGCCAAAATGAGGGATTCAACAAGTTAGTAAAGCAAAAAAATGCAGATGATTTAAAGTCCAAAACTTTAGTTTTGAAAGTACAACACAGTATATTTTAAGGCACTCCTGACTAGACTGATTGTAATAAGAAGATAATGCGAGAGATGATACTTTTATAAAAAGTGTCATTCTGAGGATGTCACTGCCGTTTGTGCTGGGAATTCAGCTGCCATAGTCGTTAACAATTACACTACTTTGTAATCCTTTCCTGAGGAAATATCCCCTGTTCTTGCACTGGCTTTCAGTGTCACAGTTAAACATTTTGGATGCTTTTTAGTTGAGCAAACCTAATGAAATCAATTAGAGTCTTTCCATTGATATTGATGGATTTTGGATCAGGCCCAATGATAACTTTTTAGATATCAATGACAAAGGGGGGAAAAAGAGAGGCATGGAGATGAAAGAAATAAAAGGAAAAACAAAAAATACATGAAGATGGATTTTATAATGCGTCCAAGATTTTATGTTTCCCAAATATCTGCCACACAGCTCTAACTAACAGAAAGGAGTTAGTAGCAGTGAAGAAACAATTTATGAAGAAGTTCAATGTCAGACTAATACTAACACATCAGGGAAAAATATTTCTATTTTTAGACCTCTTTATAGTTTGTAACATTGACTAAGTCGATGCACTTTTAGAAAACATGGATTAACATAGCATGAAAACAAAGTGGATGAACATTGCAAAAAATGCTGGAAGAATTTTGACTCAAACTGGTCTAAAGCAGTGGTTCTCAACTGGGGTCCAGGGACCCCTGGGTGGCCGCAAGCAAGTTTCATGGGGGTCCACCAAGCAGGACCAGTGTTAGGCTTGCTGGGGCCCAGGGCAGAAAGCCTAAGTCCCACTGCATGGGGCTGAAGTCTGGGGCCCTGAGCAACTTAGCTTCACAGTGCCCCCTGTGGCCTGAGGTCTTGGGCAATTGCCCTGCATGCTACCCCTTAATGCTGGCCCTGGCTTTTATATGCAGAAAACCAGTTATTGTGGCACAGGTGGGCCATGGAGTTTTTATAGCATTATTAAGGGGGGCTCAGGAAGGAAAAGGTTGAGAACCCCTGGCCTAAAGAACAGTTTCTCTCAGGCAGTACATGAACTAAAAGATTTTATATCTTTCCACTAAGTGAAATCTGATAAATTACTCTTTTGCTTTTGTGACAGGATGGAACTACTCATTAGTATTAAGTGTTTACAGGATCAGGCAACTAATCTGTAAAGAAGCAAAACTATGGCATTATAAGTGACTATAAAACAATAGTTTCACTATGAGTTCTTACACAAAAATACTATGCATTTCTATAATGTCTCCCATTTAGTAATCTCAAAGATCTTTACTAACATTAATGAATTTAGCCTCTGCACTAATAGCCTCAGTTTTGCAGACAAGAAATGTAAAGTACAAAAGTCTCACAAGAGGTCTGGGGCAGAAGAGGGAATCGAGGCCAGGTTTCCTAGTGCCCACTCCAGTTATTTAACCACAAGACCATCTTTTTCCATCCACAAGACTTCCCTTGTGAGCTGATAATGGAGAGTATAATGGCAGTATTAGCAAACAAACATTTATTTTCTCATCACAATGAAGGACAAATTACAGCATTAGTAGGACATTTTGGGGTCTGCTGGCTGAGATCACTTTTAAGTTCTGGGTGGGCAAAAGATGGCTTTATGCCAGCTGTGTGACTTCTGGATTTTGAGAGCTTTAACTTACGTTCGGCTGGCAACATCCTTAAAGTGCAGTTCCACGTGTTGGGATAACTGAAGTTCAGAGGTGCTCTGACTTCCCCTTTGTACTAGCAACTCACCCTACATCTGTGGCCCTGTGCCTCCTGGGGAATACATGTATGTCAGGAAAATTCCAACTACCAAGGAAGCTGACTTGCTTGCTGTCTGGTTTGTGCCACTGGAGTGGTGCAAAGCAGGCTGAAGGTAACTAAAAATAGTTACCTCTGCTTTCTTGTATATGGCGGCTTTGGCTGTAACTGGAAAATATAATGGGATCTGGACTTCTGTGTCAAAACAGTGCAGTGGACTTTTCCTGACACTAAGAAATAATAAACAGGTGAAGGTGACTGTCTATATCAGAAGTGAGTAGTAAAAAAGATGAAGTAAACCAACCTTCTGAGAAACAACAGTAGAAAAAATATCATCACTGTAAATTGAAAATCTACAGGAAAAATGATTACTCACATTTTACACAAGAAGCCAAGTATCCCTAGATGATGCTGTATGTTCTACTGAATTATACTAAAAAAAAAAAAAAAAAAAGAAAAAAGAAAGATGGTACATATTAATGAATTTGGCTACAAAATCAGTTTGTACTAACTTAATGCTTGAAAATTAAATGTCTAAAATATTGCTCTTTCTGAAAACAAAAGCTGTGAAACTTTGTGGACTCTATGGTTGACTAGAAGAAGTCCAGGCTTTAAAGAACATGTATGAGTTTAATGCGATATGATGGGTAAAGATATATTTGATGATATTCATATGTACACCAGCAAAGTATTGATTCAGTTCAAGGGGGTCATTCATTTTTGTCTGCCATTAAATTCTTTAAGACTTTTGGGGATTATAGCTATAATATCAAATGTAAAATACAAGCTGCAGAAATTCCATTCTAAAAATATCTTCACAGATCTGTGGAAATCAGGTTTATTAATGTGAAAAAAAATCACCAAACCAAAAATACCCATAGACTAAAGGACTTGATCATGCCAGGTAGTACGACCTTGTAACTTTGACTCAATGGACTGAACTATAGTATTGAGACTACTCAGGAACAGAGGTGAAACCTGGGCTAGTGAGAAGTTACATAAATATGAAGACCTATCATGTAGGATACTGGTTTGAGTTTTTCAGAGTTCAGATATGTACTTTAGACTCAAGATTTTAAAAGGAAAGTGAAAAACCGAGTACTATTACTGAATATAAAGGGAAGCTTAGATTAGAATTTGCTAATATGAATGGTCTGTATATAAAATGTGCATGGAATATTTCAAGTTAAACTGTGTTATAAGTAAAGTAAATGGGCAAGTTTAACTCAGTTTTTGTTGGTCCAGAGTTTTGGCTGAAAGTGGTCTAAAGCTAAAAATAGGCTCACATCTGATATCATAGTGTTTTCTTTAAATATATATATATATATATACTTCAACATAAGCTTGGAAAAGACATAAAAATGCTACAGTCTGGCAGAAATAGGTGAGAGGAGAGCCTGCATATAATTATAGTGCAAAAAATTAAAGTCCAACGGAATCAATTTATCCTGAATTAAACTTTTGAGCTCTGAATTTTTCAAAGGTGAGATGAGCTCATGGCAGCAGTGGTGATGCTGGTGATGATGAGGATGATGATGGATGTTTGTGGTGGTGAAGAGAGCCGTGTAATTTCATTCTCATGCATCATCGTCTGCATAAACCAAAACACTTTGCCAGAAGCAAGGAGGGATCCAAGAATAACCTTATTCGTTGGCTGGAGTCAGATGGATGTAATTTTAAAGTGAAAAAAAAATTAGCATACTAGTTCAAAGGGATAGGTGAGAAGTGCCTGTTGTTCTTAATTACAATGAACTGGGTGACTAAACCCTAGACAGGTAATGATAAATTTGTTAGTCTCTAAGGTGCCACAAGTACTCCTTTTCTTTTTGCAGATACAGACTAACACGGCTGCTACTCTGAAAGATTGCCTGATGGTTGCAGGAGCTTATCTCTCATGTATTAGACCTACAGCAAAAATGGTTCTTATGCTATCAAGAATACTAGGGTTTTAGTGTGGGGTGGAGTATTTTTTCCCCAGGATCAGTAAGAAAAATGTATATGTCACATATGAAATAATAGCTGATAAAAGCCAGTGGTAACCTTGACGAACCACATCTAAACCAGTTCCATTTCTTCCCCCCACTCTGCCCCCTGCCTTAAACCTGCCAGCTACACCTGAGGAGTGGTAATTGTACTTCTCAACCTTTTATCACCTAAATCCAGAAGAGAAGGAAATAAATGTGAGCCAGAAAGTCTAACCCAGTGATGAAAATCTGAGAAAAGCTTTGAGGCAGGATCTCAGGAAACTAGAAATCAGAGCTTTGCTTGGCATGAGTTTTATTTCGGCTTTTAACTCCAAATATGCAGTATAAGAATTTGACCTTTGCTGATAAAAATTATGTTAAATTCAGTGTTATAAGAACCAGTATTCCACCTAACTCAGCATGTTTTTGATCCACATATTAAATTAAACCAAACAAAAATAACCCACCCAAGAAAAAAGCAAGAAAGTTATCCTACCTGGATTTTCGGGATTCTTTACCTGTAAGTATCCCAGTTGGTTTCTGTTGCACAAATCCATATCTGAGAGTGGATGGCCATCAGGAGAGCAAATGTTCAGCACATGTTTGATGAAGATGGCAGTGTTTTAGTACATCAGGATTCAATTTTTATTGTGTCAAGCTATAATGTAGCCCAGATGAATTTTAGTGGAAAAGTGTATATTAAAAAAAATCATCAAACAATTATTTCATACCTATTTTATTTAATATAATTTCAATAGTTTCATCTAAAGAACCTACCAAAAGAG